ATCTCATCCTTCAGGGCTTTCTTTGTTTATTTCTCTCACTAACCTGGACTCTGGAGGGATATTTGAGTATGTGGCTCTGCTTTCAATAAAAAGGGGTGGAATCCATGTTCTCTCATGGAATGATTTCCTCCTTAGCCAATAATCTGGGAATCCATGGAAGACGAGAGAGGTGATGGCAGAGTCAAGACAGGCGAGTGTCTTGGTTTTCAAGGAGCAGAAAACCCAGTGGATTTTAGAAACCATAGATGGTTGGTTAGCCGAGTTCTTGGGAAAGCTGTCAGACCAGGGCTTGGGGGTCTGGGGGAAGAAAACCAATCAATCATTAGCAACCAGAGCTGTTTGCTGAGGTGAGAACAGCCCAAGCCCACTCCCTTGGTGGTGGGGTTACCTGGCCCAGAGAGGAAGCTCGCGAGTGCCGTGATTGACTGCACAGAGGCATTTCATGGTTGTCGGTGTGGACAGCTGTGGCTGAGCAGTAAAACTGAAGCCTGTCTGGAGCAGCCCTCCGCTCTTCCTGCTCATCTCAGAGTCTTTGAGTCCCCGCTCCCTGTCCCTCTGCTGACTCGGTGTCCTAACGTTCAAGAGGAGGAAGTTGACGAGGCAGCCCCGTGGAAGCAGCTTTTAAAGCGCCTGCTCCCCACCCAGGAGAGCGCGGGATGGCTGTGGCCTCTGTGCATCCCTTCTCCAGAACAGGGTTGGAGGCGGCTGAAGCTGGGCCCATGGCTCCACCCTGAGCGAGGCCTGGGCCCTCGGCTGGCTGGGGGTTCACACAGCTCCAGAGCCTGCTTTCCGGTGTCACTCCACGGTGTCCGCTGCCTCCGCTGCCAGGTTGTTCTGATCCCTTTCACCCACGGCTGTCGGAACTGCATGAATTCTCTTATCTGCAAGGTGCCTCTTTGGCCCTGGAAGCATGTTTTCCCGGCTGGCGGTACCTTGCCGCTTTGGAAGGACTAACAGCTCCGGCCTCCTGTGCACGTCTAGATGTTGTTGGGGATGCTTCTCTCGGGCGCAGCTCAGGTTCCTGTGACTGTCTGAGCCAGTGGCTTGGCCCCAGCAGCTGCCATCTCCTTCTTGAGCCTTGCTGTCTCAAGTCAGCTACCGAGGGCGGCTGACGAGTGTCCCACTGACTGGGCCTCCTGCGGGCCTGGACTCTCTGGGTGTCTGCTCCGGTGGCTTGTGGAGAGACCTGGAGTCCCACCCCTTCCTGAGTATCATGGAACCTATTCCATCCACCTCAGTGCTCAGATGGGGCCCAAGCTGCATGGGAGGCCACTGTCTCTTCTGAGGACTCAGAGAAGGTGCTTTGCAGGTGCACGTGTGGCACAGGATGGGGCACAAAGCAGCAAATCCACAGGCAGGGATCCAGCCACCGGGGACCGCTCGCTGCAGGACCCAGAGTGGGGTCTGAGGCGGATCCGTGTCCCGAGCTCCGCTTGAAGCAGCTGGGCCTCCACACTCAGGGCTGGGACACCTGCCGCAGCTCGTGCTGACCTGGGGTAGCAGTGATTTGATGGAGGACAGGCCCTGGGCCCAGTGCAGAGGAGTGATCTGCACTTGGGTATGCTAATAACAGTGTTCCAGCCACACTGCGCCAGCAGGCCCCACCTTCTGCCTGAGAAGAAGCTGGCATCTGTGGCCAGGGCACATGCTGAGGGCCTTGCTGGTGCCAGAGGGGCTGGGACAGACACTATCCCAAGAGTTAACTTAGACCTGGGAAGGAAGGGTCATCACGTGCAGGAGGAGTTTGGCCACGTCCACCTTGGGCATCTGACCTGTGCCTGCTGGAGTCACTGGGGCTGGAGGATGCCAGAGGGGCAAGGAGTCTCTGTGGTCAAGGCCAGGTTTCCGTGGAGCAGAGGAGGCACCGTAACTGGCTGTGACCAACCATATAATCTGTGCTCACCAGGAGGCAGAAGCAAGCTGGTTTCATCTCAGTTTGGAAAGGACTTTGCTAACCAGAACTCTCCCAAAATGGAAATGAAGTCCTTGCCATGTCTGCCAGCTGCTGAGCATGAGCTGGAAGAGGTTCCTGCTTGGAGTGGGGTTGTAGATGACTGTATTACCTTCCAATGCTGAGGCCAAATACCCAAGGGTCACACTCGGAGGAGGAAGCCTTGTTTGGGCTCACAGTGTCAGTCCGTGGTCCACTAACTCCATTGCTGTAGGCTGTGGTGAACCAGAAATGTCAAGGTAGAAAGGGCTGGAGGAAAGCTGACAGCTGGAAAACAGTGAGGGAGGAGGAGCAGGGATAAGACACACCCTCCAAAGAATCATCCTGCGGCCTGCTTCCTTCCACTGGCTTTACTTCCTAGTAGTCCCTTCTACTGTGAGCTCAGCAAGTGTGTTAGCCACCTTCTCATCACTAGGACAGAATACCTGGCACTGGCAACTTACAGGAGAGGTTGATGTGGCTCACGGTTTCAGAGAGTTCAGTCCATGGTCAGTAGGCAGCATGATGCAATGGCCTGGGTGGAAGAGAGCTGCTCACATTATGGTGACCAGGAAGCAGAGAGGGAAGGGAAGAGGCCAGCAGTGTCCAGGCCATGCACACAGTGACCACCTCTTCCGACCATGCTCCACTTCCTAATGGCAAGTCATCTATGAGCCCCTACATACAGTCACCTTCAGAGGTCCCGCCTGGAATCCACGAGGTCTTGGGGGCATCTGGATCTAAATCCTAAGAGCAAGTCAGCAGCCTCCTACCCAGGCCCCTCTCCTGGCCCACCGGAGCCCTGGTGCACTGTGACCAAGTCCTCAGTGACTGACTGTGGGGGATGCTTCACGCTCAGGCCAGTGCCAGCACTGACCTCAGTTTCTGTGGGACCAGGCAGGGGCAGCTCCTCCTTACAGCCCCCCTTAAGTTGCCCCACGCTGGCTGTGTTCTCTTTGCTGCCAAGTGGTCGTGGCATCCTCTGTTACTTCCCTGGCCTCCCCCTCTGAGAGCGCATCCTGAGGGTGGGGTGCTTGCTGACATTAGCATCTCCTAGCCTCTGCATGTTTGGTGCCAGCTTAGCCCCGAGCCCCCTCTCCTCAGGACTCGTCAACTGGGATAGGACACAGATAACTAGAAACAGGAGGGAATGCTCTTTGCTCCACTTCAGATGTGGAGTTTACTGGTGCATTCACACAGTTGCAGCTGCTTTCTCTGAGGAATAATTGCCTGTTCTTTCATCCCCTCCGTTGACTTCAATGGGGCAAAGGCCTCAGGGAAATGTTACCATCAAAAGTTCAGTTCAAGCTGCAGAACCGTTCTGAAAAGTGTGTTTGGCTTTCTCCCCTCAGGTTCTACTTAGCACAAGGTTTACAGATATCTGTGCCCTTTTGGGGCAGCAAAACTGCACGGCAATCTCTAGGCCAAACTGCCATTCCTGATCCACGCCTCACAGATGAGCGCCACCCATGCCCCCAAACTCTGCAGGGCAGATGGGCTGTTCTTTCTAAAACGCCTGGATGCAGACTGAAGGTGAAACCGTTTCTGCAGCTGCTGTGGCCCCGGCCACATGTGGATAGGTGGGACCTCTCCCTCCGGGAGGGAGTCTCCCTGGGGTCGGGAGCTGAGCCAGCCCCAGCCTCCCCTGCGCCCTGTCATTCTCCGCCATGCCCCGTCTCCCACTGCAGTGACAGAGGCAGAGAACAGGGGCTCTGAGCCTGTGTGCGTGGCCCGACAGCGATGACTCATGGCTGGCTGGTACTGTCCTGGAGATGAACGAGGGCTTTTGCTCCGAGCTGCACGTCCAGCCCATTGTTCACTTTTATAAATCTTTCAGACAGGGCCTCCTGGAGTCTCTTAAGTTGCCCAGGCTGGGCTCCAGCTCGAAGTCCTCCTGCCTCTGCCTTCCGGGACTGGCTCGGAGACAGTTTCTGAGAAGGAGCCTCCCTGACTTTGTGTAGCCGTCTGGGCTCCCTTCAGAGCACACGGTGTAGTGGTCTCAGCAGCCTGGTACGACCCAGCCCACGGTTCTAGGACTTCGTAGCATCACTGTCCACGTCCCGCCAGCTCCCTGAGCCCTCATTAACCGTGCATCCGCGTTTGGCTGACGTGCTCTTTCTGGATGTTTTGTGTAAGTGGGACCCTACGATACGTGGTCTCGTGACTGCTTCTTCTGCTTAACTGTGGGTTGGAGCTCGTGTTAGGACTTCATTCCTTTTTATTGCCACATAACAGCCACATGTGTTTGTACACTGTGTTTTGTGTTTCCACTCATCAGCTGGTTGACCTTCGGGTTGAATCTGCTTTCTGGCTCTTCCACATGAGGCCACTGGTGAGCCACGTCATAGGCAGGGCTTTGTGTGGACTCTGTCCTCGCTCGCTGGGGTAGACCCAGGATTTCTGGGTCACGTGGTCACTTTGGGTCCATCTTCTGAGGGACTGCCAGATGTTTTCCAGCACAGCTGCACCGCTTCACCATCGCTCCGTGGTAATTCTGTTGGGAATTCTAGCGCATGCCAGGGCCTTGCTGTGCCTCCACTGGAGACCAGGCCCGTGCAGGGCAGCTCACAGTTGCCCCCGGGACAGAGGATTTTTTGCAGGGGTCCCAGCTACACCCGAGCACCCCTGGCCAAGTCAGGCTGGGGCTGGGGAGCTGACCTGGAAAGCTGGGGGCAGGGGTATGAGGCAGAGAGAGCCCCGGAGGCGGCCCCACCTCTGAGAATGGGGCATCTCTGTGTCCTCCCTTTCGTGGTGCTGCCACCTGGGAGGAACCGGGTTACGGTACTGACGAGTGCTCGGTGCAGTTCCTGCGAGCCCCCGGCCTCATTTCTGAGATGTTCGAGGCAGCGAGTGGCCTGCCTGGCCCCTCCCACCTGCTGCAAATGCAGCACAGGCCAGGCAGTCCCTGCAGGACCTGTGAAGTCAGGGCATCCACAGCGAAGGCCGGGGCAGGTACAGCAACATTTGCTTCTGCCCATGCACTTGGGAAACCTCTGCTTCTGGCACGGATTGCTCTTCAGGAGGTGGCTGTGGGCCAGGCTGAGCCCGCCTCCCTCTTCTGTGTCCACAGCCACAGTGCGGGGTATGAGAGCGAGAGCCACACGACGCCCATCCTGTGCGGTGCCCAGTACCGGATCCACACGCACGGCGTCTTCCGAGGCATCCAGGTGAGCGCAGGGCACGCAGCCTCTCCTGCGGGGTCACCCACGGGGCCTCGCAGGGTAGCTCCAGCCAGCAGCTTGGCACCAGGGAGCCTTCCCTCCGCAGCTGCTCAGGACAGGAAGGAGCGTGAAGCCAGAGGGTCAACGTCCCAGAGCAGCCCGTGCCTCGGGTGGGCAGAGCCGCGCAGGGCTGAGTCACTGGCAGGTGCGGCTCTGTGGCCCGAGTGGCAGCTGTGTTCCCGTCCTCAGGGCGCCGTGCCCTGGAGCTCCAAGGCCTGTGACCAGCACCGGCGTAGGCGGGGCGCCCAGCTCCCACAGTTCTGACCGGTGTCTCCCTGTCCCAAGTCGCGCTGCCCTGAGAAGGTGCAGAAGTGCGGCTGCCTGCCAGTTCAGAGGGCGTCCTGGCTCAGTCCCCGGCGCCTCCTCCCCACAGCGACGGGGGAGCAGCTCTGGTTTAGGTCCCAGTCCCACATGCATGGTGTCAAGGACAGGAGAGGAAAGATGCCCGGTCTGCCTTCTCCCCACCAAGCCCGCTGCTCTAAACTGAGGTCCCCACTGCCCACCGCCTCCTTGGGGTCCCCCACCCCGCTGGCTGAGCACATCACTATGCCTCACTGACCCTGGGACACCCTGGTCTGTCACAGCAGAGTTTACCTTTTCTTCCAAGAGAGTGAAATGGGGGTCTGGGCTTTGTGGGGCTGCTTCTGGTGACAGACCTGCTCCCACGGTCTCGGCTGTACCCACCGCTGTATGGAATAGGGAGGTGTTGCCCCCGTGACTCAGTTTCCCCCCAGAAAGGAACCCACCCCCTCCTTGGAAAGACATGGATGGCCACTGTGTTTTCTGGTGTCGCCAGTAAGGGCTGCACTGGCCACACGGTGTGGCGTCACGGACAGACCTGGGGCTCCTTCATCTACGACCTCGTGCCTGTACTGTACTGGGGTCTGGTTGGTTTGGGGCGAGTTTGGCAGTTCACGTTATCCTCTAACAAGAATGTCCTCGCTGTGGCAGACTGGACGAGGGTGCTGGGCGTCTCTGGCTGGGACGTGTGGGGGCCGAGACGGGGTCCCCAACACCACGCTCCTTCCAGGAGGCTCTGTGTGGCAGCTCCCAGCTGGGTTCCGGTTGACTCTGCCGTCTGTGTGGGGAGTTGCAGGAGGTCCCTGTCTTCCCTGCAGGGTCTGCTGCTGGGCTCAGCCTTGGGCCTCCACGGCCGGGCCATTGTCCCTGCTCAGCGAGTCTAGAGCCCAGTCACCAGTGACTGCTGGTGTGTGGCTAACGGCCTCTGTCCTCCACCTCTGCCCAGGACGTGCGGCGTGTGCCCGGTGTGGCCCCCACACTGGTCCGGTCGGCCTCCGAGAGCACGGAGAAGCGCCCCTTCATGTGCGCCTACCCCGGCTGCAACAAGAGGTACTTCAAGCTGTCCCACCTGCAGATGCACAGCCGGAAGCACACGGGTGAGGAGCACGCCAGGCGGGGCCGGCCGAGAGGCCCCTTGGAAGCGCTCAGGGGTCCTCCTTCGGGACAGGCAGGGCTGCTGAGGAGCCAGAGCCCTGTGGTGCCGGCTTTCACAGCAGGGCAGGCTCTGCGGGTTCAGCCTGGAGCTCGAGGTGACAGAGCCTGCACAGACAGATGCAGTGGAGTCTGAGGCCGGAAGAGGTGCAGGGCCATCTCTGGCAACTCCGCGAGGGCAGTAGGCTGGAGCAGGGCAGTGCCTCGGTGCTGGGTGCCGGGCAGCAAGGCCCCGGGACAGCTTCCTGGACGTGGGAGGGAAGGCACTGTGTGCTGGGGACAGCCTAACGGGATGGAGCCGCCCGTGGTTGAATCGCCCCAAACAGCCCTGGATCGCTGAGATGATGCTGGAGAATGTGTCCGGGCAAGCGGGGCCCCCAGGAGGCAGCTGGCAGAGCACTGCCTGGTTGGCCCCTGTGGGACGTGGGGTGGGGTGTGGCTGGGTCCCTGCAGAGGTGGCCCGCGGTGGCTGTGGCTGATCTCCACCTGCAGGGTGGCCTTGCCAGTTGTGGCTGTCGTTATTCTGTGGTCCCGCTGGCTCGGGCCGCGAACCTGGAGAAGCCAGAGCACTGCCTTGCACCCGTGGAGCCCTGGGCTCTGCTCACCTGGGCGTCCAGAGAGGCAGCCGGGCAGAGCAGACTCATGGGGACAGCACCTGTACCTCACGCTGTGCACGTCACACCCGTGCTATGCCCGCTTCCCAGGGGACTTGAAGAGCGTGTGTCACAGTTAGAGGAAGCCATCACGGGCCCAGCCTTGGAACTGCTGGGGCTGCGTGGACGGCAGCGTGGGGCCCAGAGAGGCTGGGGCGGAGTGAAGGCGGTGGACTGGGGAGGTGGCCAGCAGCCCCTCAGCCCCCTTTGCAAGCACGGGGCTTTCCTGTGACTTTGGTGCCACGTGCTGTCACTGTGCCAGTGCCGCATGTGTGATGCTGTTTAGTCCCACGCACAGAAGGGTGAGGGCGAGGGGTGGGAGGACTGAGGGAGCAGAGGGCTCCGGTGAGCCCGGGCTGGCGCAGGTGGCAGAGGAGAGAGGCTGAGCAGCGAGTGATGGCGGGGGCTGCAGCGGGAGGCAGGTGGCGGTGGGTCCTGCACACAGGCAGCTGGGGCCAGGCTGGGAATGAACAAAAAGCCCAGGGCATCCAGGCGGCAGAGGTGGGCAGGAGAGGCAGGGCCCGGGGTCTGATCAGGGACACAGTCTGGAGAGGGGAGGGAGGCTTCGGTCTAACCGTAGCGTTCCATGCGCGGTGGTCGTGGGGCATTGGTGGGAACATGGACAGAGGGACAGAGGTGTTCAGTGTGAGCTGAGTGCGGGAGGACATGGGGGTCCTGTGGCCACCGGAGCAGGGTACAGTCAGGTCAGGAGGTTGCAGCGGGGGAGGGTGACGCCCAGTGCCTGGGGTGGCTCGCTGTCCGCCCACCGTCCGAGTCAGGCTTCTCCGGAGTACGAAGGAAGCCTGTGGTGGCCATGTGTACCCGGGCTTCCTCTGTGGGGGACAGGGCGGGCTGTGCAGGCCACACCTGCTTCTCTGGGGCGGAGGGAGCACAGTGCCCTGCAGGCTTCCACGTCCTGCGGGTGGAGTGGCCGTACTCCATGCAGACGTGAGAAATCAGCAGTGGAGATGCCACAAAACGCGGGGCCCACAGCAGGGCCACCCTCAGGACTGCCGGACTCAGCCCACGACTCAGCCTCTTGGCTCTCTGTGTAACTGTGCCTACTGACACTGCACTGCCAGGCACGGGTGCTCACGCCACCGTCAGATTCTGGCCCACTTTGCAAGGAGGAAGCTGCTCCCTCTCAGTGCTGTAAAGGCAGAGCTGGGTGGGGACATCCTTGGCCCCTAGCCTGTGCCCACATGGGTGCCCTGTCCACTCTGTGGAAGCTGGCATCCCTGTCCTGACCCTGCCCCGGGCCCCGGGCCCTGCTGTCCCCGAAGGAGAGGTTTAGCCCACATTTGCAGGATTGTTTCAAACAAAACGTGTCTTCCCCAAGGTGAGAAACCATACCAGTGCGACTTCAAGGACTGTGAGCGAAGGTTTTCACGCTCTGACCAGCTCAAAAGGCACCAGAGGAGACACACAGGTTTGTGGGCTGCCTCCTGTGGCCGGCCGCTGCCTTGCCTGGGGTTAGGGTTGCTGTGCAGCTCTTCCTTGCTGGACGTGGATGAGAGGGTCAGCATCAGCTTTGTTTTTCCATACCTTTGTCTTCTTCTGGAGGCTTTCCTTTTCTTAAAAAAAGAAGGGAAGAGGAGAGAGCATCCTCCGCACTCCTCCTGGACAGGCACAAGGCCCAGTGAGGACTGGTGATAGTGGGCACCGAGCGTGAGGCTCAGCGGAGCCTGACTGTTGGGGCTTCAGGCTCCAGGATGGCTGCGAGCTGCCCACCGCAAGACTCGGGGTGCGAGGCTCAGGGGCGCTCATCCCCGGGACAGAAACGTCCTCCACGTCCTGGCTGCCCCTGAGCTGGGGGCGTTGGGGACACTGCAGGTGTGGCTGAAAGCCGGGCGCCTCTAGCCACCATGGGGCCGGCCCAGGGCTCGCTGTGGCTGCACGTTAGGGTGGAGGCCAGACCTTCTCTGTCCGTCTAGGTGTGAAACCATTCCAGTGTAAAACTTGTCAGCGAAAGTTCTCCCGGTCCGACCACCTGAAGACCCACACCAGGACTCATACAGGTAAAACAAGTGCGTAAACTTTTCTTCACTTTTATTTTTCATTATTTTTGGTGAGCGACAGTGGGGTGAGGCTGTGTGTGATGAGAGCCTGGGAAGGACTTGTGCATGTGCTGGGGGAGCAGCGTGTGCCTGTGGGTGCCAAGAATGACACCCTCCAGACGCAGGTGGGGCGGGGGACATCTGTCCCGAGGGAGAGAGAAGCCAGCCCGGCACTAACGACCCTGGGAGAAGTGGAGGCTCCAGCAGGCCAGGCTGTAGCCCGGCCCCACGTCTGCTGCCTGCCAGGCTGGCCGAAGTGCGTGGCTGTCGTCCTCCTGCTGCCTGTCTCACCCTGGCTGGCGAAGGCTTTGCTGCCCGCTCAGCCCATGCATTTTCTGCCCCTGGGAAGGACAGGCGTTGTGTATGATCTCGTTATCTTTGCACTGTGGCCAGGGAGGCAGATTTCACTCCCGTCTTACAGATGGGGAGACTGAGGCCCCAGTGGTCAGGGGACTGTCCCCAAGTCAGAGCCAGGGAGTGGACACTCAGCTCTGTCGTCCCTGCTGGGGAAGGGACAAGCATCCTATGGCAACCTGGCAAGGACAGCAGAGCTCGGTGCCACCAAGGGACTGACTGAGGTGACGGAGGACCAGGGCTGGGATGTGACCCTCAGGTGGGCTGCGGTGGAAGCCGGGTCAGCACAGTGGGGCCAGGTGGCCTCAGAACCTGGGCCCAGTGTCTGGCAGGATGGTGTCCTGCGTCCTGAGCTCACCGTGCCTGGGGAGGCACTGTCCCTGTGCGCCCAGCCCTTCGTCTGGCAGGAGTGGCCGAACCACCAGCAGTGGTGATGCTGTCTTCGATCCAGGGACACCACATGCCAGGCATGTCCGCCCTGCTTGTCCTGAGCAGGGGTCAGAGATAGCAGTGTCCAGGAGATGTCCAGGCGGCAGAGGCCTTTGGGACTGGAGGTGACAGAGGACAGCACAAAGGGCCTGTGGACAGGGTGACATCTGCCTTTCTCGGAGCCCCGCTAGTGCAGGCTGATGGGGGTGTGGGTAGCGCCTCTTCGGTGCCCGGGCCTCTGCCGCCCCTGACCAGCACTTGTGCCCTCAGGTGAGAAGCCCTTCAGCTGCCGGTGGCCCAGCTGTCAGAAGAAGTTCGCGCGCTCTGACGAGCTCGTCCGCCACCACAACATGCACCAGAGGAACATGACCAAGCTGCAGCTGGCGCTCTGAGCTCACAGATGGTGCTGCTGTGGCGGTCGCTGCTTCCGGCGGGCGCTGAAATCCCTCCCCTCGTCTCTCTAAGGACTCGGCGCTGACCCGGCTCTAAGGACCTGGACGCTGGAGCCCCCAGGTTTGCCGGAGGAGCTGTCAGCTCTGCCAGCCTTCAGCGACCTGGAGGCCAGGGCAGGGCTGCCAAGTCCATTCCAGTAGTGAAATCAGCGCCACCGGTCGGTTTCCGCTGTCAGGAGCGTGTCTGATAAGGTCCCTCCCCTTTAGGCTCATTTTCAGTAGGAGTGGGGTGATCGTACCGTCCCCCCGGATAGTCCCAGGCAGGGCGTGTGTTCGTGTCTGCTAACGTGAACTTCCTCATGGTTTCCCCTTACTAACAGGCAGGTGCGGCGAGCGGGTCTCCACCGGCTCCCGGTCAGGCGCTGCCTGGACAGTGTCAGAACTGACCGGTCCCTCCGTAGAACCTGTTGAGACCGCACTGCAGGGTCCACACGGCGCTGTCTGCGCAGGCCCGCAGGAAACTGCTTGCAGGTTGTAGATTCCGGTTCAGCTTTTTCTTTTGACTTTACTGTCACCAGAGATGTACAGAAACACACAGAGAAGCGGTGCTCTCTCTCCTCGTTTGGGGTGCCCTTAGGGTGTGCAGACCACACTGGCTGCGTAGCTTCAAGCTGTAAAAATTTAAGTGACTTTGAAAGAAAACGGGGCTGGTCCAGGGCCCAGCGGCCGAGACTGTTCCGAGCAACTGAAGGGGTAGGGGCTGCACGTCTGGGGAGACTTCCAAGCGCAGGGCGTCGCCGGCTGCCACGGTCGGGGGTGTAAGCGTGTGTGTTTTGTTCTTTAAGGGCAGGAGTTATTATTGACTGTTGCTTGAAGATGTTGTGTAAATACAGATCCGGCGATGATTCTTCTTGGCTGACTAAAGTAGGAAGTGTGTCGTACTAGGGCCTCATGGTCAGTATTGGTCTTACACCGTGCTGACAGTGACCCTGAACTTGTAACCTGCATTCTCACACTGCTCTGATTAAAGCCTCTTCAAAAAGCAAGTGGTGGGACTGTCTTGGCCTGTTGTGTTCCCTCCTCGAGCGCTGCGCCACTTCCACAGGTAGGAAAATGCTCTGAGCACTGTGCCTCCCCTCTCCGGGACTCGGGAGTTGGCTGTCCCGGAAGCCGCAGTGGGTGACCCGTCCCCTCGCCCTGCAGCAGCTGTGCTCAGCTGGTGAGAGCCGGGCTCTGGGAGCAGGAGGGCTGCACATAGTCCCACAGCTGCAGGTCAGCGCTGCAGTGGACCGGCCCCCAGCCATGAGGCAGAGTGGCCGGTCCTAGGCTGTGGCTGCTGCGTGGCTCCTCAGTGCACACAGGAGAGGCAAGCGTGCCTCCTGTGATCTCGGGGCTTGGTGCGTACGCCCGCTTCCTCCTGCAGTCGTGAGCGCACTGAGACCCTTTCCATGTTGAGGTGGACGCCAGGGTCTCTCCGAAGCCCCGTGTTCTCATCCGGCCGTGTTCTCATTGGAGAGACAGGAGGATCACTGTTAACCACAGTGAGCAAGCGAGCGACTCCTGCTCGACCTTTTCTTTTCCTGCCAGAGCGGCGTCCCCGGAGAAGCACAGGACAAGCTGGGTGCACGGCGTGAGTGGTAGAGCTCTGCATGGGCTGCTTTAACTCCCGGGATCCTTGCTCTGCCTCCCCGGCCGCCTGTGGTGGTGAAGTCCTAGGCTTCGGGCAGTCAGGCAGCGGCTTCAACCCCAGGTGTCTGTCTGCTCTTCTCTCCGCCTGTGGTCGGAGTGAGGGTTAAAGGCTTAAACTTGTGCAGACAGCTGGCACTAGCAGAAGCCTATGAGAAAGCTGCCCGGGAAGACTGCCCCCACACCCCCGAGGTGGAGGCACCTGTGGAGTCCACTGTCCAGTGTGACCACAGGTCCATCCTGCACCCTGAACTGGATGGGAGACATTGGGCTTTCGCCAGCCTCACCCCAGAGCCCATATCTGCACCCTCCATGTCCTCTGTGAAGTGCTTGGTGACAGGTGGTGACACCTGTGATCCCAGCTTTCAAGAGGCTGAGGCAGGAGGATCACTATGAGTTCCAGGCCATGCTGGGATAATAGTAGATTTAAAGCCAGTGTAACTGCATAGCAAGATCCTGTCTCAAAAAAAAAAAGAAAAAATTTTAAAAGTGCCTGGTCTATGCTGGTGGGTTTCCCAGACCCACAGTTAGGACGTGGGCAGTAGGGCTCCGGGGCCCAGGTTAGAGCTGTGCTGTCCAGCTTGCTCGGCTCTGGGGCCTGAGCCATGCAAGTCCCCCCCACCCCGGGTCCTCCTGCTGTCCCTGTGTTCCTAGCCCATCTGCACCCTCGGCCAATGCCCGTGTCAGTCCTGCTCCATCTTCTCTGCCCTGCAAAGTGCTCTGGGTAAGGACAGGCACACGTGTGGACCTGCGGGATGGGCAGGACGGGCAGGCTGATCTGGGTTGTGTGATAGGCGTGTTGGCCCAGCCTGAGGGGCGTGTCCCCTCCTGTCCCTCCCAGTGGAGCTCCTCAGCCCTGGTGTCCCCAGAGGTCTCCTGGCACCTGCTGAGCGTGGCTGGGTTGGACGTTCTGGGTGGACCCGAGCATCTGCATTTGTCCTGTGATCCCCAGTGGGGAGCATGGCCCGGGGATGGCTCAGTCCGCACCTGCTGATGGGTGCCAAGTGGCAATGGGCTCCGTCCCCGTGAAGGTGGCCAGGCTCTGCTGGGTGGAGCCGTGTGTCCACATTGGGAAGCCACCTGCAGGGAGGCTGCACCTCCACACATGGGCCTGGCCCCCTGCGCCCTGTCCCCAGGGCTCCAGAGGGGACGTGCAGGGCTCCTTGTGTGCCTGCTACGAGCAGCCTACTCTGCTCCCAAGGTCCTGCCAGGCGGAGCCTGTGCACATAGACAACACCGCACCCCATTGTGTGACCCCTGGAGGTGAGGGGCCCCACAGGGAAGCGGCTCAGCTGGGGTCACCTGGCTCGTGTGTCTGCCCTGCTGAGATTCTTTCCCGAATGTGACTTGGATCTCACTCTGTCCACCCCACTTGGCCCTGTGCTTGGCCCCCAAACCAGGGAGCAGGCTGTGGAACTTGGGTGCTATGGTCCGGTGGGGCTCCCGGAGATGCCCCCCGCCATGTTCAGGAGCACTACCTCTTGGTAAAATGTGTTTTCCATCACTGCTTTCCCTGACGTGCTGGAATTGGGGAAATGACATGGCATAACGCTAGTGGACAGCAATAAAAGGAGAGACTGGGAAACACGTGTGAAAAGTCCCAGGTCAGTGACGGCTCAGTGTCCTACTTCCCCAGCAGTGCCTTCCAGGAGCTGCCCAGCAGAGCTCCGGGTGGGTAGTGACAGGGGACAGGACGACCACCCCTCTGCAGCTGTCCTTGCTGCAAGCTCTGACCGTCCAGGCCAGAGAGGCCTCAGAGATGTCCCCATGCTGGCTTTTCTGAGCCCTAGAAATGCAAGACTCTGGTCAGTTGTCATTCCCCAGGGTGCGGCCATCTCTGGTCAGGCTCTCCTTGACATGACCTTGGATGACCTTGCAGCAGTGGGTAGGGGTAGAAGGTCCGGATCGCCCTCTCCCAGACTGGCAGGCGTGCCCCCTCCTTCATGGGGGCCTCTGGTCAAAGGCGCCTTTGAAGTCCCATAGGTGACACCAGGTACGACCTGAGGGACTCAGGTGCTGCTGTTTGTAGGCAGGGACCACCATGCCCGGGAGAGGCTGCTGGGGCAGCTTTTGAGGCCTGCTGCCCCCTTGTCTAGTAACTCCCACCTGTAGTGGCAGCACATGAGGGTGTGTTAGTGAACCTGGGCAGTGCGGCAGTCTCCCAGCAGGCAGGGGTCCCAGCAGGGCTCTGCACCCCTCCCGGGAGCCCCGAAACAGAGCCTGAGGTCAGAGCCTCATCTGGGGAGCACCGTCCTTGGTGCATGCCCTGGGACCCAAGCATCTCCCCAGTGCATCCCACCCCCCTAAAGTAGACGACAGAAGGGGAAGCTGCAGCCAGGTGGGGTCGGGGAGACCCCCATCAGGTGTCAGGCCCAGGCCCACAGTCTTGTGGGTAAAGCAATTGAAAACAGCCTGTCCCTGAAATGATTTATGTGATTTGTGAGAATCCACAATTGTGGATTTGTCTCAAAGCATGGCCTTCTCTGTGAGGCCCCTGCATCTTACCTGAAAGGGAAAAGCTCACCTGACCATCTGCCATAGTTCATGTGGCCATAAAAGCAATTTAATCCCGGTGCAGTGTTAAGAGCTGGGACCCTTGCAAGGTCTCCGTCCTCATGGTTCGGCAAGAGGGCCTAAGGCTGTGAGTTTCATTTCTCCTTCTCTCTCACCATGTGCTGCCTTCCACCATGCAGGCCCGCCAGTCTGGTTGTTCCCTCCCGGACTTCCAGAATCCAGAACTGTAAGCCAACACAGTTCTGTTCTTTACAAATAATCCAGTCTCAGGTATTCTCTTATAGCAGCAGAAAACAGACCATAACAGCATTTAATGCCAGACCCCCAGTCATTTCATTTTATTTTTCAATATTCTTTTGTATTTGTCATTGTAAGGTGACCTGGACTGCGTACCAGCTGCTTTGTCCAGGGTTTTGGCCTGTGTCAGTCAGCTTCTGGTCATGTGACAAAGTCCCTTAGATAATCACCTTAATAAGAGAAAAGTTTATGGAGCTCCTGGTTTCAGAGATTCAGTCCATGGTGGTTTGGTCCCACTGCTTCGGCCTTGGAGTATGTCATGGCCAGAGCACAGTGGAGGAGACTGGATCACAGCATGGGGCCACAAAGCAGAGACAGGAAGGGGTGGGTCCAAGGCCATGCCCCAAGTGACCTCACTTCCACCCTCCAGGCCCCACCTCAGTGCCATAGGCTGAGGTCCAAGCCTTCAGGACACAGGCCTCTGGGGGAAATTCCAGGTCCAAAATGCAACACCCCGGGGTTCACATATTGGAAACCTGGCCCCCAAACTCATGCTAACAGTACTCAGGGTGGAGCCTTGGTGTGTAGCTAGGGTTTGATGGTTTGGGGTGCTCCCCTGTGGTGGCCTTGTGGCTTTCTAAGAAAGGTGGGGTGGCCCAAGGGAGTGTCCTTCTGTGTTTCCTGCAGCTAGAGGCCCTGGCGGGTGCCAGGCTCTCACCGGCACACACCAGCCACCAGGGAAGCCTGTTCCTCCCCAAGGCCTGGTCTCGGCTGGCTCATTACGGCAGCAGGAGGCAGACCGACACCCAGCTGGGTGTACTCGGTGGCTGTGTGTCAGGGGAGTCCCAGAGCCGCGCTCACAGCAGAACTGTGTGGCCAGCGGGCCAGAGGTGTGCTGGGCACACAGGGAAGTCGGGCCTGCCTCTGATGCGGGCTCTGCGGCTGCCCAGCCTGGGTCCCTCTGGGCCCCTCCTGGCCACC